CTTCACTTGTACTGTGACATATATATATACCTGCTCTTGCTTGTCTAGTTTTATATATATGTCTGTACTCCTGCATGTGAACTGGCCTCTGGCCCTGCTCTTGTGCTCGGACTGTGTGGTGACTTTGTGATCCACCCTGAGCTTGCTTTGCTTTGCTTGACTGGTCTTGTGACCCCTTGTTCTCCCCCACTTTGCCTATGGGGGTGTGTCAAACATTATATATGTTATGCTTGTGTAGGCTACAGTGGGTTAGCCTATAGGGGGTACACAATTCTAGGGTTTCCTACTTGTACTCATTTCACTGCTAGTTCATTCATTCCTGTTCGCTTATTCCCACAAACACAACCCCGTAAAATCCGCAGCTTCAGGTGCAGTTCGCCTCCGACAATCTCGGACGTAATATAGCCGCCCACTCGGTCACCATCAGTTTCCGTCGGTCACCCGACCCCAGCATGTGGGTTCAATTGAGAACCGGGGACTGTCCCTGGGTATTCCGAGACCGAATTTCACAGAACCTAGTGGCATCAACGTCGTTGACTCCGTCGTTGAAGCTGCTCCTGGCGATGCTGTTTAACGCAATTTCCACGCAATTTCGAAATGTGCCCTTCAGGCGAAGTCCCCCAACGGCTCAACTGCACTCCAAGACACGAAGAAATACCCGCTGTCAGAATCCCAACCACTAGACCATTGGGATAAAAGGGCTTGTTTCAGTAGCGGGTCAGTGCGCCCATAACCCCCCAGGGGAACGCGCCTGTAACCCTCTCCAGGATCAATCGGGCATCCACAGTGCAGATCTACTGACACTCCCCCACATTGGGAGGCCCAGGACTAAGCACAGCGGCAACAGCCTACATGTGCATACACCGGGAATCGAACCCGAGACCGCTCTGATACCATGTCAGAATCCCAACCACTAGACCATTGGGATAAAAGGGCTTGTTTCAGTAGCGGGTCAGTGCGTCCATAACCCCCCAGGCGAACGCGCCTGTAACCCTCTCCAGGATCAATCGGGCATCCACAGTGCAGATCTACTGACACCCGCAGCTTAATATTTTTTTGTTGTTTCACCCCCCGTGAATTCCGCTTCCCGCCGTTCACCAAGCGTCCACGTTTGTCGGATGGGGTATTGTCAGTATTGCCCGCGCGAACTCGGCTACGGTGGAGGGGCAAAAACTATTGGAGTTGGGGACCCTTAACTAAAAGGAACTATTGCCCAACCGTTTTGCAGCCCACCGCAACCGTCACGCCACGTAACTCCACAGCTTCCAGGTCCCAGCTTCACCGCTGCGCCGTCGACTCGTGTAGACGCCAGCAAACTGCACCACTTCTTCTTTGCAGCTCCCCGACTTTTTCGCGTGCTGTTTCACCCAGCCTGTTTTTGTCGGAGTAGAACAGTGCTGCGAGCCCCATTTTTTTTTTTCCTTTTTTTCTGTACAGCTGTCAAACGAGCACAACCCAGGTGCCTTTAACCAGCGCATGGTAGGCCCGTGTTCACCCCTGTTATTTGGCCAACTAAGTTGACTGCATGAGCCAGAACTAAAACTTGGTGGGGATGGTGAGGTTCGGGCGACAGAAGGTCATAGATCGTTCACACTGGCTTTATCCTGCCCTTCATGCCTTTCTTCAACCCCCGCTTAGCCCTCGGGCAGTTACTTCGCGTGTGTCCCGGCGGCCTGTGCCAACTCCTCCGTAAATGTCGGTGCAGTATGTTGAACGCTGTTTAACCGCGGGCTGCTGCGGCTGTCCCCGAAAATGTATTCCTTATAGGGAAACCACTCTCGAAATGGCCGGCCAGCTGTCGACTGTACCAGGCACGCAGCGTCATGCGAGTTTTCTTCGAGGTGTATGGGCTCGAATTTTCCTCGCCGCCTGCTTCCCACTCCTCTTGAGTGCGATTTAGCCACTCTGTTTTTTGTAGCATCCTGTAGTGTCGGCGGGTCTGAAGTTCCCGTCCGTCTACGTGCACTCCTACCGAAATCTCCGATGACGCGCCCGCCTTGCAGTAAAAGCCGCTGCACTTCAGGTCACGTGGGATGGCAGTTAACCCCCGCTAAGTCGGGCAGTCCACAGTCGTCTCTCCTCGCCACCGACATTTTCATACGCAAAACTTCATTTGCGCCTGGCGAGTTCCCCAGCCGACTTTTTCTTCCACTGTTGCTCCGAAATTGTCGCCCCTGCTGACGAAGGCCCGTTGTCGCCAGCTGCCGAGGATCTCTTGAAAATCTCGTGCACATGTTGACGTATGCCACCGACATCAACTTGTCGCGTAAGGACGATACCGAAATTGTCGCGCAACAGTTGACTCAGGTCCGCCAGCGTCAACTGCCACTCATCGTGACGACTTCCGAAAATTTTGTGCATGTGCTGACGCAGGTCCACTGACGCCAGTGTCAGAATCCCAACCACCAGACCATTGGGATAAAAGGGCTTGTTAAGTAGCGGGTCAGAGTGCGCCCATAACCCCCCAGGCAAACGCGCCTGTAACCCCCCGTAGGATCAATCGGGCATCCACAGTGCAGATCTACTGACACCCCCCCCACACTGGGAGGCCCAGGACTGAGCACAGCGGCAACGGCCTACATGTGCATACACCGGGATTCGAACCCGAGACCACTTTGACACCATGTCAGAATCCCAGTCACTAGACCATTGGGATAAAAGGGCTTGTTTCGATAGCGGGTAAGAACACCCATAACCCCCCAGACGAACGCGCCTATAACCCTCTCCAAGATCAATCGGGCATCCACAGTGCAGATCTACTGACACCCCCCCACACTGGGAGGCCCAGGACTGAGCACAGTGGCAACGACCAACATGTGCATACACCGGGATTCGAACCCGAGACCTTTGCTCTAATAACATGTCAGAATCCCAACCACTAGACCATTGGGATAAAAGGGCTTGTTAAGTAGCGGGTCAGAGTGCGCCCATAACCCCCCAGGCAAACGCGCCTGTAACCCCCCGTAGGATCAATCGGGCATCCACAGTGCAGATCTACTGACAGCCAGCTGCCATACAAACTTCCGAAATCGTCGGTAAATCGCAGCGGAATAGTAGCTCACGTTTAACCTCGCGACAGCTTCAGCTGTCCGTTGCCCGGGGGAAGGGAGGCCACGGTCGATCGCGACCGTTCGATGAAAGGATCTGGCGGTGCCGAAGGAGTGCCCCGTAAAACTATGGCCGCCAGGTGCAACTAACTCGTTCTCCTGGCCGGCCTACACAACTCCTGGACCCCAAGACATCCTTCCTCGTACCCCCCCACGAGGGGTATTACACTCTAAAAGGCGGGGTAGGCTAGGAAAGTAGCTCTTATACTAGGTGTTATGAATGAACTTGCAGAGTGCGCAGTAAAACGAATAACGAGAATGTTGAAGTACCGAATCACTGAATGACAATACAATGAGAATGGCATGACTAAATAGGGGAAAGGCTAGCTAGGCGGGGAGGTCGGGCGAGGATGGCTCGGTGATGGTTGCGGTTGGTGTGGAGGCGACTCGGGGTTGGTTCGGTGCGACGAAATAGGCAGAACAGGTTCGTCACGTGACCCTGTGGATGGCCTTGCTAATGAGTGCCTCAGTAAGGGCGCGTGTCTTTTGGTGTAGATTGTCAAAGTTCGAGCTTGGTACCGCTTTGTACCGTGGCGATCTGTTTCTCAACTGTATCATACCGTGCACAACCTTTCTAGAAGTTCGAACTTTGGCAAAGTTCGACCTCAAGGACACGCGCCCTAAGGATTTGTAAACCCTCACACCCAACCCCCCAATCGAATCTCCGAGCTTGTTTACGTCAGTGTGCCAGGGCCAATCTGCCATCAGTTTTCGGCGGGTGTTGCTGAAAGTTTGGAGGTTTTGGCGCGTCGCTGGCTTTGCACACGTCACGGAGAGCGTCGCAAGAGGATGACCTGGAGCATGCTCGTCGCACATGCCCTTGCAGCTCACCCTCGCAGTAATGTCGCACGAGATCGGGGGTCGTTATCGCTGTTGTGGAGGTACACCATCGAGCCGCCAGTTTGGCACTTTCAACTCGGGTAACTTCAGAGGAATTCGCGCCTCCCTACAGATGAGGAGCTGAGCTGTGGGTGATAGAAGGGTCAGAGGCTGAAGATGCCACGCTCGACGCGCCTCGCCAAGCTGGGGAGTAGAAGAACCATTGGGACCGAAGAATAACCTTGAAACTGCTCTCTGACCGTTCTCGGCATGCCTAAATCCGGCCCATCACGTCACGTTTCACCACGACATGCGAGGAGTCGCTCACAAACCCATCACATCTCTCACATGACAGAAAGCCCGAAACGAAGTCCAGGGCGCCGCGAAACGACGGCGCCTCGATAACATTCCCTCCTCTTGCTCGGCAAGCCAAATCATCACCAAGGGCCTTCCTTCATGCCGATTCCGACGGCCAGAACGGGTAACGTGGGGCAGACACCCTTGCGACTTCCGTTCTGGGCCCTGGGGCACCCCGTTGGATGATGGTTCTCCAGCCTTGTGAGTTTGGTCTCGTATCGTCCCGAACTGATGCCTCCTTGGGCTTGGACTGTTTCTCAGGCGGGAGCCGTGGGATGAACCGAAACGGAAAGATCTTGGCAAGGCTACTCACCACCACAACTTTGGTTTTGAATTTTGCCTTCAAGGCAGCGCGCTTCGTTGCGAGGCCGTGAGCATGGTCGGGGAAGACCCAGGGCAAGGCGAGGCAAGTGAGGGAGCTCCTCAGCTTTGTCCGTGCTTCTTGCGGCTCCTTCCGGCTTGCCGCCGCCGCCGCTCCCTTGTGATGCGTGGAGAAAATCATTTCCCATCGAGCCACACACGCAGCAGTAGAGCGAACATCCCAAAGGATGGCATCCGACGGCTCGCATCGCATCCCATCCCATCGCGCACATCACTGACTCCTCTTCCCCTCGAGATCTCCTCAGCCAAACGACCCATTCTCTCTCCTTATCGTCGCCCACGTAGGCACTTGCGTTTCCCAATCCACAGCATTTATAGTTTTGTTTTCAAGATAACATGTTCGCTTACGGTAGCTTACAGGTAGGGAACCGTAAGGTTAGCTGCTCTGTCCCTTAACGTCACGCTAGACGACCGATGTACGTAGTAACTTAGCTCTGGTAGCATCTACGTCAGTACATAGCTTTGTGGTTTGACATGCTCTTGCTGTCAACATCAACACTTCTACTTTCTTAGCTCACTTCTCTCAATAAGAGCCCATCCTTAATTTCTTTCATAAAGAGGATTGCTACTTATTACCATAATCTGTCATCCTTGGGTTCAGCCGCCATCACTAGGTTGCGAAGAGCATTCTCTCACAAATCATCTGATTTTCCGAAACGATGACGATGGAAGCCGAGATAGTTGTTGACCGTAGACTTCTTAGAGAGGGCTCGTCTGTTTCAAGACGGTCGGCCAAAACTTCCCGGTTACCAGAAACTCGTGCTGTTGCTCTCCTGGTGCTTCCCTTTCTCCTGAGCCCACTATTCTGCGAAGCCCTGGTATCCGACTCTGCCACGGAGTCGACAACTGCTAAGCTATCACATCCGTTTCACAAAGATTTTCGCGTGACATGGGGAAATGTGACTGTATCGGATGACGGCCGCGCGGAGTTATCTCTTGATAAAGCGTCCGGATCTGGCTGGTCGTCCAACCAGCCGTACTACAACGGGTGGTTCTCTGCCTGGATCAAAGTGCCGTCCGGGTACACGCCAGGCGTTGTCACGGCCTTCTATGTACGTCGCCTCTTCCATTCCACCTGAGCAACTGTGCAGGCAGTCTCGTTCCATTCCACGTTTTCATAATATCCTGACTGCACTGTGTTGGTAGTACCCATCGGTACTTTGTTCTCACTCAACCCGAATCTGTGTTCTTTCCCTCTCTCCCTCTCTCTCCCACCCACCCCCCTCTCTCCCGCTTCCCGCTCTCCCCCCACCTTCCCCCAACCCACCAGTTGCACTCGGAGTGGAACACCTCGTGGCCCGGCGACTTCCACGACGAGGTCGACATGGAGTTTCTCGGCGAGCGCTTCTCCAGCGACGTGATTCTGCAGACCAACTGGTACGGCCAGGGCGTCGGCGGCCACGAGGAGCGCCTCAAGCTCTGGTTCGACCCGGCGGCGGATTACCACCACTACGCGTTCCAAGTCAACCCTGATTGCATCCGGTGGTTCGTCGACGGGATTCTGATCCGCGAGGCGTGCAAGACGGCGGTGGGGAACGACCCGTTCCCCTCGTCGTCGATGTTTCTGGTCGCGTCGCTGTGGGATGGGAGCTCCTGGGCGACGCAGTACGGCGCATTGAAGATCGACTGGGCGCACGCGCCGTTCCGCGCCGGGTTTCACGGGCTGCATGTGGACGGGTGCTACTGGCGGCAGATGGACGAGAAGGATGCGCCGGCATGCGCGCTGACGCGCGGTAATCGCGATTGGCAGCCGACGTGGGAGAAGGGGATGGAGGAGAAGGACTACGTCCTGCTGCGACACACGCAGGCGCATTATATGACTTACTCGTACGCGCTGGACAAGACGAGGAAACCGTTCAAGCCTAAGCGGACTGCTGAAGTGACAGTGGTAGTAGCGACGGCAGGAGAGGGAGCTGGTCAAACGGAGCAGACGACGACAGCAGTGGCGGGGGAAAAAGGGCAACAAGCCGGAGTGAAGGGAGGAGTCAAGGAAGGGAAGCTTCGCGGGAGAAGAGGGCCGGGGAAACGACTAAGCGCCCAGGGAAGATGAGGGGCAAGCTTTTATGGCGGTACTGATTACTTAACACTACTAAGACTGAGTCAAAGGCAATTAGTTCATGGGACGAATAAATTGAAGACAAGTGAAGGGGAAAGTCTCTGGGGGACAGAGGTACCATTGGAGAGGTAACATTGAAGTCTTTTAGAGGACTAATGGAGCTGTACTTGGGGGAGATTGGGGGACGCTACTAACACGACAATGTGGAGGAATTGTAGAGGGGAATAATGGAGAGCGTTAACCGTCTTGTTTCATGTTTAATGTGTGTTTGATCAGAGAGCCTAATAAAGTGCATATTGCATCTGTGATGTTGCACCATCTTTCATGGTTACTACCATCATCTTTTGCATCAACTACTGATGTGTTGATTGACTGAAATGCTGGCAAGGTACGTATCTGCAACGCACTTTTATGATTACACTGATCTGCTCACGTGTAGTCTAGAGTAGGTCCATGCTAGGTCGGGAAAGCATGGCGGTGGTGGTGGGGTTGTGAGTGACGGGGATGGTCAAATACCTACACATAATGTGGAGCTGGAAACTGCCCCTTAGGAAGTTACTGGAAGGTGGTTATTACTTAAAGCCCAAGTACAACATGGTATATTTCAAGTTCAAGATTCTTGAACTTGAAGTCACAAATAAACAGGGTAACCCTCTTTGGTTTGAAACTCAACTCGCGACCCCAGGAAAACCTCTTGCGACCCTCACTCCTGATTGGTTTCAGTGACCAGTCGCACGACAGACCCGTCCATCGCCCACAATATTGCCTGGATCACCTCTCACATATCTTGAAGACCAAGTAGTACTTCTAGTCTGTTACGATGCGAAGTTTTATGAGAAGGCATTCCTGTATGCTGCAGGAGCCGACTCTACCGAGTACGAAGTTGAGGAGTCAGAAGAGCCGAAGCGACGCACCAAGTGTCAGATCAAGACCGATGCAGGCAGAAACATTTAAAGTGAAAAGAGCGGGAACAGTTTTTAAACGGGTTCCCGCGCCGCACGGTTTTGAATTCAGTTGTAATAAGGGAATGTACCCCTTAGAGTACATGGCTAGTCTAGGTCCTTTCGTACGGTATTCCCTTGTACTCTTATATAAACTCGATGTATGCATGCTATTATCAACTCAGTCATTTACATTCACTCTGGCCTCAGATTCAAACTTTCGCTGCAACACTACTCCGCGATCAACCCTGAGCGATCCTTGGCTAAGTCCCACTTGGGATTGTAACATGGTATGAGAGCTACTCAGGAATTCTTCGCAACTTCACTTCCGTGAAATTCGCCGAATCAAGACCTGGCGAGCGGCACACGCTCCAAGACCAAGATGGCCGGAGGATCCGGAGGCCAAGCAAATCTGACGGTTGAAGGACAACCCAATCCAGCTGCGACAAGTGAGGCGACAACCACGATCGGCACTGCCGCCCTCGAGCAACTTTTCGCTCGACTTTCAACTATGGAGAAAGAACTCCAAGAACTGCGCAAAGGCGATGCGGGAATCTCTTCCCAACCAGCACAACCTGGACAACCGGCTGAGAAAAGCCGTGATACCGCTGCGCACACCTTCTCCCTCGACACAGACAAATCAGCAACAACTGCCCCCCGTCCAAGTGATGAGGCTATCAACTCTGCGCAAACACGCTTCCTCTGCGTTTCAAAGATTAAGACTACTGCCGCGTTTGACGGCAAGGATTTTTATACATGGAGCTTTGAGCTGGAGCTCCTTCTACAAACAGCGCAGATCTACGGTACCATTACTTCGACGGTTCCTACCCTAAACCGGTGGAAAACACCGACGTCGCCAGGGCTCAGTACTACAGTGCGTCCCTCATGGCTTACAGTGTGCTGCTACGCAACATGACGCCTGCGGAACAACTCAACATACGCTCCTACAAAGAGAGGACGCTCCAGCAATGGAAGCTTGGAAGCACCTCGTTGAAGTTTACCAGCCGAAGGATTCGGTCACAGCCAGCAGGCTTCTCCAGCAACTCCTGGAGATAAAGATGGGGCACGGGGAGAAGGCAAATCCATATATTAACCGCTGTCGCAACATCCGTGACCAGATCACGAAGCATGGGAGTACGATCTCATAAGATATTTTCGTCAATATAGTCCTTCAAGGACTCAGGGCCTGAGTGGAAGCCCTACAAGGCGTTACTCCGACAGCGAGGAACAATTTCATAAGCCGCGCTATGCGCCGCTCTCCTATCCGAACAGCAGGATATGGACTCGAGCAGAACAAGCTCCGCGCCGCGCCGAGAGCGCCTCGCCTTCTACACGGACAACTGAGAAGAGCAACGACAACCAAGGCGCCTGTCAGAATCCCAACCACTAGACCATTGGGATAAAAGGGCTTGTTTGTGTAGCGGGTAAGTGCGCCCATAACCCCCCAGACCAACGTGCCTGTAACCCTTCACTAGGATCAATCGGGGATCACCAGTGGACCTCTGACACCCCCCCGCACTAGGATGCCCGAAGTGCACACACCGGGATTCGAACCCGAGACCTTCGCTCTGATACCATGTCAAAATCCCAACCACTAGACCATTGGGATAAAAGGGCTTGTTTAAGTAGCGGGTAAGTGCGCCCATAACCCCCCAGACCAACGTGCCTGTAACCCTTCACTAGGATCAATCGGGGATCACCAGTGGACCTCTGACAGCGCCATTACTGCAAAATATGCAAAGTCTTCGGACACTCAACGGATAGATGTAAATCCCGATCCAACTACCGCCACCCAAATTCCACTCACCACAACAACTGGGTCGGCCGACAAGACGCTCGTCATCCTCAACCTCAGCATCAGCAAGCTCGTCCTCCTGCACAACACCAGCAAAATCAAGGACCACAGTCAGGAGCTCCCAGGAATGTCATCGCAAACATGGCGACACGACGCCGGCGCACCACTGAACCTGACGAGGAGAACGAAGTCCAAGAAAGACTTCTGGAACCAGAAGAGGGATGGAATAATCCCTTCACCGAGGATCACTATTCCCTGCACGACAAAGACGAGCAGGACTGGAACCTTCCAATCACGCTGCGGGAAAGCCCGCCTCACGAAAATCAGCACTACGTACCAGTGGGCTGGAAGGAGGACGAAGATCCTCACTTCCACAGGCGCTTCAAGACCACCTTGGTAACCCCACGATTGGCGCTGCTGCTGCGCCGTAACAACACTGACAATTACAACACCTGGTACCTGGACAGCTGCTGCGGCCAGCACATGGTGGGATCCACGCGCTATGTCTCTAACCTAAGTCGCGCCCCTGCAACTTATGTCACCGTCGCCAACAACAAGCAGCTGCGCGCCAACTCACAAGGACTTGTCGTCCTCCAAGTACGAGATAGCAACACACACATCTCGTTCAACGACGTACTCTACGTCCCGAACCTGCGCTTCAACCTGCTCTCCGCTTGACAGCTCCGCGATTGCGGCGTCATCATTCACACGGACCTCGCGACGCGCGATCTCATCCTCACCTACGCTCCCCCGGACACTCCTCCTGAGGCATTCAAGTACCTCGGACGAGCTCGCTCCATCAATGGGATCTATATCCTAGACTTCGACATACCCCCCTGTCAAGCCTCGTCGGACGAGCTCGTAGATCTTGTCCCCCTCGAGTTCGCCTTCATGAACAAAGAGTCTTGGGAGCATCCGGATGGAAGACCGTGGGTTCGCCGAAGCCCTCACCCGCGTGAAATCAATCTTCACGAACCTGACGCCCACGGACTGTGCACCACCTGTCACACACCAACCGCAAGTCGAACGGAGCAAGTGGAAAAGGAGCAAGCGGCAATTCAGGAAGCAGAAAGCGCTGAGACAGAACCAACAGGCATGACTGAAGAAGAACTTGCCATATCATCACACCGCATATTCGGTGAGCCAAGCGAGAAATTCGGCCAAGAACAGCAGGAGAGACCACGGCCTTACTCGGACACCCTACGATTCGTCCTCGAAGCCAATGCGCGCACTCTAGACGAAGAAGGACGTCCGCGCCCGTACACTCGCGAAGTCTACCGCCGCGAAATTGACCCTGCTTGGAAAGATCCTGACGCACCAGAGGAACTGAGCGTCAAAGAAGAACAGGAGAAGGCCCAAGCGGAGAAGCGGCAGAAGCTGTATGAGGAGCGCATCGCGGCAGGATGGGACCCAGACTCTGCGCGCGGAGGATGGGGCAACGAGCCCGCTGATCCAGAAGAAGGCGCAACCTGGGGTTCCACAACTGGAGCATGGGGAACCGGCACGGTCACCACAGGAGGATGGGGAAACAACGAGCCTGACGAAGGGGAGCTCACGTAAGAGGAATTAGAGGAAGCTGCACGAGAAATGCAAGCTGAGCGCGGCAAAGCATCACCTCGAGTAACCATTCCCCTCGGTCGACCCCCTCGCACTGCCGAACCACCTCGCTCACCTCATCAATGGCGTGATTCCTGGTCGGAGATTGAGAAGGGGAATGTACCGCCAACACCTCCGCGAGACTCACTCGGTCCAATCTCCCGCCCAGATCCGTACGCCCGCTTCATCGAAGGCACCACGACCCCGCTCACGATCATTCCCGATCGCGAATTTCTCGCCCTGTATCTCTCAACGGCACCTGCAGAAGGGGAAGCAACGGCAGAAGCAGAAGCAGAGGAGGAGAACAACGAAGCAGAACCAGGAGAAGAGGAAGAACCCCCACTCCAGATCCCAGAACTCACAGCGGAGGAGGCAGCAGAGTACCACACCCGCTACAAGCGCACCTCCGGCATCCGTGCCGAGGATGACCTCTGGCACCAGCGGATGGGACACCCCTCGCGCCAGACACTCGCCAATTGCCTCCGTGCAAAAGTTTTTCCGCCAGGAGCACTGCTGCGCCCCGACGGGACGCAGTTACAACACACCACCCCCCATCCAACCACTTGCACTGTCTGCCCCACAGTCGCACTCTCTCACGCTGCCTATCCCTCTCTGGAGCCAAGCACCAACCGCTACAAGAAATTGGAAAAGGTGTACAGCGATTTCATCGTACTCACCTGCGACGGACTCAACGGCGAAAAGTACACGCTGACCTTCATCGACACCTACTCACGCCACGTGTGGGTTGCCAATGTTGACGCCCGCTCCAAAGCCCCGGAGGTGTTCCGTATCTTCCTCGCGCACGCGCAGCGACAGTCGGGAAGGAAACTGAAGATCTGGCAGAGTGATGGGGCAAAAGAATTTCGCAGCCATAAACTGGAGAGCGTGCTCACCGAGAAGGGGATTAAGCATGAGATTTCCCTTCCCTATGCTCACCAGCAGCAAGGCGTTGCTGAGCGGGTCAATCGGACCCTCATGACTAAAGTTCGCGCCATCATGAACCAGTCCGGCCTGCCAAAGAAATTTTGGCCGTACGCCATGAATCACACGGTGCGCCTGCACAACCTCCTCTCCACCACCGCCAACAGGGATAACATGTCACCCCACATGAAGTGGACCGGTTCAAGGGGAGATCCCTCCATGCTGAGGGTTCGGGGGTGCATGGTGCAGTATCGGCCCACTTCGACCACAATCGGCAAGTTCGTTCATCGTGCGCGCTGGGGAGTTCATCTAGGACTCAGCCACGAGCACAAAGGATGGCTCATCCTTGACATGGACAACCAGGAAATTGTCCCTGCGCGTGACATTCTTTTCTACGAACGGCTCACCTTGACGCAGTGGATCGAGGACGAACGTCGTAACCAGGCACGCGGCTACGCCAACAGCGGCCGTAGCTTCACGACCCCTGAAGATGAAGCAGCAGCAGCAGTTCTGGACCGCGACGACACCGACGAACATCCCAGCATCCCCCCTCGCCCGCGCGACAACGATGACGATGACAGCGATGACGACCCCGCGCCAGGACCATCACGGCGCCAGACAGAACCAAGCACCGCACCACCCGGCTACGAGAGCGGAGATGACGACGTGATTGAAGTCCCCACCAACGCAGACACCACCAACGTGTCAGGCCTTCAACTTCTTGGCCTGCACACGTCCGTCTCTACTCTCGCGCGGACCGTGGAACCTAAGAACCCTCGCCAGGCCCTAACCGGCCCTCACGCCAAGGAGTGGCGTACTACGATGGATGCGGAACTGAAAGCACTGGAATCGCGCGACACTTGGGTCCTAGTCGATCGTGCAGCAGTGAAGGGGAGGAGGGTGCTCAGCGGGAAATGGGTTTTTCGCCTCAAAACTAACGCTGACCGTACTATTGAGCGCTTCAAAGCACGTTGGGTCGTACGCGGGTACGACCAGCGTCACGGCATAGACTTCGATCAGACCTTCGCTCCCGTCAGTCGCCATACCTCGGTCCGGATTCTACTCGCTATTGCCGCCGCGAAGCACCTACCACTGCGACAGATCGACATGAAGAACGCGTTTTTATATGCGTTGGTGGATGCCACCATCTTTGTGGAGCAGCCGCACACCTACAGAGAAGGTGATCCCAGGGTCTGTTAACTGAAGAAGTCACTCTACGGGATCAAACAGGCGCCACGACTCTGGCAGCAGCATCTGCACAAAATCCTCCTCGAAATCGGCTTCAAACAACTCCCACCTGACCCGGGAATGTATCGCCTCCACTTCAGCGGCGATTACATCCTCCTGACAGTCTACGTAGACGACCTGCTGTATACGGGGACCTACAACAAACTCCTCGACCAGTTTCAGGAGAACCTGGCGCAGCGCGTGGACATCACCATCAACCTCGAAGTAAAGCAGTTTTTGGGGTTAAATATCACTTACGCGCCAGAAGCAATTCATCTGTCAGCCTCCAAGTACGCAGAGCAGCTGGGAGAACGCTTCAACATCTCACCCGCACCACTCTCAACTCCCTACCGCAGCCCGAGCACCAACTACAAACCGGACAACAAACCTCTGTCGCCCGCAGGACTCCAAATGTACCAACAGAAGTTGGGGTGCCTGCTATTCGCCTCTATCACCTGCCGACCCGACCTTTCGTACATCGCTAGCCAATTGGCGCAGTACTCTCGCAAGCCAGTAGCTGAGAACCAGCTGGACCTGGAGCGCGCCCTGCAGTACTTCATCTCCACACCTGACATCGGGCTCTCCTACTCCACGCTGATGACGACCTCCTTCAACCTCAACGGCTACGTGGACGCAGACCACGCAGCTGATCCTGCAAATCGACGGTCCCGAACCGGCTTCGTTTTTCGCCTGGAACCAACTGGTCCAATCTCCTGGAACTCCCAGAAGCGGGAGCTGGTTGCCCTGTGATCGGCCGAAGCAGAATACATCGCCGCGACAGCAGTAGTTCGCGAAGGCCTGTACCTGCAGGAGCTGCTGCAGGAGGCGAAAATTCCAACCTCGCCCACCTTTCGCCTTCATTGCGACAACCAGAGTGCCATCAAAATCGCGAACAAGCCAGGATTCGTGAACCGCACGAAGCACATCGCGCTTCGGTACTTTTTCGTCAAGGACGAAATCGGCCAAGGCAAAGTGGACCTCGCTTACTGCCCGACCACTGAGATGGCAGCAGACTTCCTCACCAAGCGCCTGCCACGTCAGTAGTATAAGCAGTGCTTTGATCTTACCGGAGTAGTCAAGCGAGTCAGCTCCACCCGCGCCTAGGAATGAAGGGGAGTGTTACGATGCGAAGTTTTATGAGAAGGCATTCCTGTATGCTGCAGGAGCCGACTCTACCGAGTATGAAGTTGAGGAGTCAGAAGAGCCGAAGCGACGCAGCAACCGTCAGATCAAGACCGATGCAGGCAGAAACATTTAAAGTGAAAAGAGCGGGAACAGTTTTTAAACGGGTTCCCGCGCCGCACGGTTTTGAATTCAGTTGTAATAAGGGAATGTACCCCTTAGAGTACATGGCTAGTCTAGGTCCTTTCGTATTCCCTTGTACTCTTATATAAACTAGATGTATGCATGCTATTATCAACTCAGTCATTTACATTCACTCTGACCTCAGATTCAAACTTTCGCTGCAACACTACTCCGCGATCAACCCTTAGCGATCCTTCGCTAAGTCCCACTTGGGATTGTAACATAGTCCACTATGACACGCGTAACTAGGAAACGGGCGGCTGGGCGACAAAAGCACCCTCAAGGGTAGGCGTTTTTTTACGGACAACACTAGTGCCTCATGCTGTCTGTCCAATCGCTGCGTAGCACAACTGCCTGCCAAACTCCCCCGCACCGTGCCTCTTTCGAGTGCCAGACATGGTACGTCCGTGCTAGTGCCCCACACGCGCAAGGCTCCCTAAAATGGCATGAGTTGCCACACTCGCTGCTTGTAGGATGTCGTGTGCGCTTTAACCACGTGAGACTCGCGGAAAAGCGATTCCCGCGCTTCATCACGTCGCCCATACTTGCTGGAGTCACGATATCTACCACTCGTCGCCCTCACTTCCTTTCGTCGCCCGCGCTTCTCCAGGTTGCCCGCGCGCGCTCCTCCTTGACGCCCGCGCGCGCTTCTCCTTGACGCCCGTGCGCGCTTCGCCCGTTTTCCCGCGCGCGATTTTCTACTTCGCCCTCGCGCGCTTCTTCTCGTCGCCCGCGCGCGGTTCAGATCGTCGCCCGCGCGATTTTCTCCTCGTCGCCCCCGCCACTTGATTTCACGCGCGCTTCTCCTCGTCGCCTCCGCCTCTGTATTTCGCACAAGCGTCACCGTACCCGCCTGCATCCCCGCCTTCGTCCACCCTCCATCTCTTTGTCCCTCCCATCTATCCCTCACCCCTCGCTTCCTATATCTCTCGCTCTCTCTTATACTCCCATCTCCCTCGCTCTCTCTTTCTCTTCTGCCTCTTTTGATCTCTCTGCACTCCTTCCTTCCCACCTTCTCTCTCTTTCCTCGCCCTTCCCACGGACAGATGGGGAAGGACACGGGGGTGAGGGACAAGGACAGAGGGGGAGAGACAGATGGGGGAGGCACCGGGTGGAGGACACAGGGGGAGAGACAGAGGGTGCAGGACACAGGGGGAGAGATAGAGGGTGTAGGACACAGGGGGAGAGATAGAGGGTGTAGGACACAGGGGGAGAGATAGAGGGTGTAGGACACAGGGGGAGAGATAGAGGGTGTAGGACACAGGGGGAGAGATAGAGGGTGTAGGACACAGGGGGAGAGATAGAGGGTGTAGGACACAGGGGGAGAGATAGAGGGTGTAGGACACAGGGGGAGAGATAGAGGGTGTAGGACACAGGGGGAGAGACAGAGGGGGAATGTCACAGGGGGAGAGATAGAGGGGGAAGGAGACAGGGAGATAGACAGAAGGGGAAGGACACAGGGGGAGATACAGAGGGGGGAGGACATAGGGAAGGACCTCAGAGAGGTGAGCGCCACGCACCAGGTGAGCCTTCGCTTTCCCCATATGCCCCTCCTCTCCCTCGATCTCACCATCTTTCCTGTCCCACCCCATGTACCTTCCTCTGGCATCTGCCCCCGTTCCCCCAATCCTATCCCTTGTGACCCCTTATCCCCTGCCCTGTTTCCCCCATCCTCTGACCTGCTTCTCCACACCCTCTATCTGTTTCCCCCAATCCCCTTCCCTGTTTCCCGCAATCCCCTTCCCTGTTTCCCCCAATCCCCTTCCCTGTTTCCCCCAATCCCCTTCCCTGTTTCCCCCCATCCCCTTCCCTGCTTTCCCCCATCCCCTTCCCTGCTTCCCCCCATCCCCTTCCCTGCTTCCCCCCATCCCCTTCCCAGCTTCCCCCCATCCCCTTCCCAGCTTCCCCCCATCCCCTTCCCTGCTTCCCCCCATCCCTTTCCCTGCTTCCCCCCATCCCCTTCCCTGCTTCCCCCCATCCCCTTCCCTGCTTCCCCCCATCCCCTTCCCTGCTTCCCCCCATCCCCTTCCCTGCTTCCCCCCATCCCCTTCCCTGCTTCCCCCCATCCCCTTCCCTGCTTCCCCCCATCCCCTTCCCTGCTTCCCCCCATCCCCTTCCCTGCTTCCCCCCATCCCCTTCCCTGCTTCCCCCCATCCCCTTCCCTGCTTCCCCCCATCCCCTTCCCTGCTTCCCCCCATCCCCTTCCCTGATTCCCCCCATCCCCTTCCCTGCTTCCCCCCATCCCTTTCCCTGCTTCCCCCCATCCCCTTCCCTGCTTCCCCCCATCCCCTTCCCTGCTTCCCCCCATCCCCTTCCCTGCTTCCCCCCATCCCCTTCCCTGCTTCCCCCCATCCCCTTCCCTGCTTCCCCCCATCCCCTTCCCTGCTTCCCCCCATCCCTTTCCCTGCTTCCCCCATCCCCTTCCCTGCTTCCCCCCATCCCCTTCCCTGCTTCCCCCCATCCCCTTCCCTGCTTCCCCCCATCCCTTTCCCTGCTTCCCCCCATCCCCTTCCCTGCTTCCCCCCATCCCCTTCCCTGCTTCCCCCATCCCCTTCCCTGCTTCCCCCCATCCCCTTCCCTGCTTCCCCCCATCCCCTTCCCTGCTTCCCCCCATCCCCTTCCCTGCTTCCCCCCATCCCTTTCCCTGCTTCCCCCCATCCCCTTCCCTGCTTCCCCCCATCCCCTTCCCTGCTTCCCCCCATCCCCTTCCCTGCTTCCCCCCATCCCCTTCCCTGCTTCCCCCCATCCCCTTCCCTGCTTCCCCCCATCCCCTTCCCTGCTTCCCCCCATCCCCTTCCCTGCTTCCCCCCATCCCCTTCCCTGCTTCCCCCCATCCCCTTCCCTGCTTCCCCCCATCCCCTTCCCTGCTTCCCCCCATCCCCTTCCCTGCTTCCCCCCATCCCCTTCCCTGCTTCCCCCCATCCCCTTCCCTGCTTCCCCCCATCCCCTTCCCTGCTTCCCCCCATCCCCTTCCCTGCTTCCCCCCATCCCCTTCCCTGCTTCCCCCCATCCCCTTCCCTGCTTCCCCCCATCCCCTTCCCTGCTTCCCCCCATCCCCTTCCCTGCTTCCCCCATCCCCTTCCCTGCTTCCCCCCATCCCCTTCCCTGCTTCCCCCCATCCCCTTCCCTGCTTCCCCCCATCCCCTTCCCTGCTTCCCCCCATCCCCTTCCCTGCTTCCCCCCATCCCCTTCCCTGCTTCCCCCCATCCCCTTCCCTGCTTCCCCCCATCCCCTTCCCTGCTTCCCCCCATCCCCTTCCCTGCTTCCCCCCATCCCCTTCCCTGCTTCCCCCCATCCCCTTCCCTGCTTCCCCCCATCCCCTTCCCTGCTTCCCCCCATCCCCTTCCCTGCTTCCCCCCATCCCCTTCCCTGCTTCCCCCCATCCCCTTCCCTGCTTCCCCCCATCCCCTTCCCTGCTTCCCCCCATCCCCTTCCCTGCTTCCCCCCATCCCCTTCCCTGCTTCCCCCCATCCCCTTCCCTGCTTCCCCCCATCCCCTTCCCTGCTTCCCCCCATCCCCTTCCCTGCTTCCCCCCATCCCCTTCCCTGCTTCCCCCCATCCCCTTCCCTGCTTCCCCCCATCCCCTTCCCTGCTTCCCCCCATCCCCTTCCCTGCTTCCCCCCATCCCCTTCCCTGCTTCCCCCCATCCCCTTCCCTGCTTCCCCCATCCCCTTCCCTGCTTCCCCCCTATCCCCTTCCCTGCTTCCCCCCATCCCCTTCCCTGCTTCCCCCCATCCCCTTCCCTGCTTCCCCCCATCCCCTTCCCTGCTTCCCCCCATCCCCTTCCCTGCTTCCCCCCATCCCCTTCCCTGCTTCCCCCCATCCCCTTCCCTGCTTCCCCCCATCCCCTTCCCTGCTTCCCCCCATCCCCTTCCCTGCTTCCCCCCATCCCCTTCCCTGCTTCCCCCCATCCCCTTCCCTGCTTCCCCCCATCCCCTTCCCTGCTTCCCCCCATCCCCTTCCCTGCTTCCCCCCATCCCCTTCCCTGCTTCCCCCCATCCCCTTCCCTGCTTCCCCCCATCCCCTTCCCTGCTTCCCCCCATCCCCTTCCCTGCTTCCCCCCATCCCCTTCCCTGCTTCCCCCCATCCCCTTCCCTGCTTCCCCCCATCCCCTTCCCTGCTTCCCCCCATCCCCTTCCCTGCTTCCCCCCATCCCCTTCCCTGCTTCCCCCCATCCCCTTCCCTGCTTCCCACCATCCCCTTCCCTGCTTCCCCCCATCCCCTTCCCTGCTTCCCCCCATCCCCTTCCCTGCTTCCCCCCATCCCCATCCCCGCTTCCCCCCATCCCCTTCCCCGCTGCCCCCCATCCCCTTCCTTGCTTCCCCCCATCCCCTTCCCTGCTTCCCCCCCCCATCCTCTCCCTCCCCATGTACAATCGCAAAGACGAGAGGGGACGCACGCGCAACAGGGGGGCAGCGCAGCAGACTTGTGTGCAATCTCAGTGACCATTCACCCTCTCTTGCAGACCTTTTTGGATTGCAAGAGCAATCCGGAAGGAGGAGGGGGGACGCAGGTGCAACTAGGGGGCAGCGCAGCAGACTTAGGAACACGCTCACGTTCGAAAAGTGCCTGCTGCATCCATGAGTTGATGAAGTCTGGGCTGAATGCTGAGATGTGTGCTTCTTTTTCTCTTCCCATTCCCCTCCATGCTTGCCGCCCAGCAGGTACTGGAGAGCGGCGCCCAGGTGCTGAGCGACCGGGGGATCTGCTGCATTGATGATTTTGAAGACATGTCCAGTAATGCCTCGTTCAGCATATTGCCAGTGGCATGCTGCAACATACCCCCCACTCCTTTCGTACTCCCCACTCCTCTCATACCCCCCACTCCTTTCATACTCCCCACTCCTCTCATACCCCCCACTCCTTTCATACTCCCCACTCCTCTCATTCCCCCCACTCCTTTCATACTCCCTACTCCTCTCATACCCCCCACTCCTTTCATACTCCCCACTCCTCTCATACCCCCCACTCCTTTCATACTCCCCACTCCTCTCATACCCCCCACTCCTTTCATACTCCCCACTCCTCTCATTACCCCACTCATTCCATACAGTGGACTCCCCCCACTCCTCTCATACTCCCCATTCCTCTCATACCCCGCACTCCCCTCGTACGCCCAACTCCTCTCATACCCCACAGTCCCCTCATACCCCCTGCTCCTCTCATATCCCTACACCCTCGTTCCAAACTTCCCACTCCCTTCATATCACCCACTCCTCACATACCCACCGCTAATGTGAATTCAAATTGTCACTGTTCCGTCTGGTCCCACTTTCCACCTATGCACTGCTTTCCACCCTTGCACCCCTGCTTCCCACCCTTGCACCCCTGCTTCCCACCCTTGCACCCCAGCTTCCCACCCTTGCACCCCTGCTTCTCCCCCTTGCACCCCTGCTTTCCACCCTTGCACCCCTGCTTTCCACCCTTGCACCCCTGCTGTCAGCCCTTGCACCGCTGCTGTCAGCCCTTGCACTCCTGCTTTTCTGCTTCAAGAGCAGCAGCAAGTCCCTCCAGAGATCCTATAGCTGCCACTGGTTCGTCTGCTCCTACTCTAAGCTACTACCGGTAAATTTTTTAGCCCTCAAGCCGTGCGCCTTCTATCCCACCCATGCATCTGCCATGTGTTGGCAGGCTAACTGGTGTGTCGATTCCAGTACTGTGGCTCACTTCACTGCGCATTGTGAACGAGGTCCTTGTGAAATGCAAGTATAAGCCATCCTGAAGTAGTGTACATTGGATGCCAAGTGGTTACCTCGGCAATAATTTGCAATAAAGTGCAAACAGAGCTAGGCACTGACACCTTTGGAGTAAGATAACTGTTACACATCATCATGGATGTATCCTTTTTGGGATACCAAACAAGCTAGTGCCCTATGAGCTGGCAGCAGGCATAAGTGTTGCTTGGCGTGGCATGTGAGGATCAGACAGTGCCACACGAAACTTTCAGTACAAATCAGGAACTTTGCAATTCACACCAGTGCGTGCTGCAGATGTTTTTACAGCGAATCAACATCAAAGTCGCCTATTCTTTACAATACATTAGCGATAACTTACATGTGACGAGATTTTGTCTTCAGAAATCTCGTAATCAAGCAACCATTTCCTCAGCGAAGCTGGAAGATATTCTCGACGAACGAGTGGATTTGGATGTCCCAGCTGTCGAACTGAGCGTTGCTCACGTCCTGGCACTCAACTGCCATCTCGGAAGTGGGCATATCGGAAGGAAACTTCCAGGAAACTTTGCTCCGATAAGCGCGCAGAGTGTACGCCCGATACAAGTCTGAGGCTCAGCCTACCCTAGTAAAATTAGGCTGAAATTTCAGACAAAGCATAAGAAAAAACTCTGGAAAATCAGACAAGGTACATAAATAAATTCTTTGAGTTCAGACTAGGTACAAAAAAAAAGTCTGAACGGACTCTGATTCAGACTCCAAAGTCTGATAACGTATATTGCAACTATAATATGTGCAAGTTGATTTTGCTCTTAGCATGATTAGGTTTAGGACAGAACGGCATAGTCCTCTAAACACATTCAACCATGACATGTTCAAGACCACATTAGCACAGTGGGGATGGAAACACAACCCCATTTATTCATCCTGACCTGCCACCCACACCTCCACTTCCTCCCCGTCATAGTGGCCTGCTAGCCACCACTCATCACTATCGTCGCTCCACTCCTCCGCATCTTTTATCACTGCGTCTGCCACATCATCCCCTTGATCCGATGGCAATTCTGCCTTATCCCTCTCACAGTGGTAACCTGCAGCTATAGCCAATGAGAAGGAGGATAAGCCAGGGTGGTGTCCGTGTAGCTATGAATAATCTCATCCGCAGAGCATGGCAGGGCATGCCTGGAGGGGGGGAGGGAGAAGGGCGGAGCGGAGCATGACAAGGGAGGGCAGGGCAGGGCATGGCATGACGCGGATGGTGCAGACAAGGGCAGGGCGGGCCATGAGAAAGCAGGGCAGGCATGGCCCCTCTAGTCATGGCATGGCAGAAAAATGAGGGTGCTGACAAGGGCGGGGCGGGGCGGGACAAGGCATTGCAGGGCAGGACATGGCAGGGCAGGGCAGGGCAGGGCAGGTCAGGGCAGGTCAGGGCAGGACAGGGCAGGGCAGGGCAGGGCAGGGCAGGGCACGGCACGGCACGGCATGGCAGGGCAGGGCACGGCACGGCACGGCAGGGCATGGCTGGCAGGGCAGGGCAGGGCAGGGAAGGGCAGGGCAGGGTAGGGCATGACAGGGCAGGGCAGGGCAGGGCATCTCCTGGAATAGCATGGCATGTTTAGTTGGAGCAGAGAAAGGCGGTGCGGGGCAGGACAGGGAAGATGGGGAGTGGCATGCCGAGGTGGAGTAGACAAGATCGAGGCGAGACCAAACAGGGCATGGTAGGGAATGGGAGAGCTGAGCAGGCCAAGTTATAGCATGGTGGGCGATGGGTGTTTGTCAAATACCTTTGGGGGGTTCGATTGTCGTGGTGGGCGTCGTGGTGGTTCTGCGTGATGCCGAGCAAGCCTCGCGCGGGTTTGAAAGCTCGCTTGATGTTCGCCTTGGGCACTTAGCGTGGGAGGTTCGACACATCACCTATAAGCAACATACAGATGGACTGGAAGACGCGGATGGTGAACACATTACGCTGGCTAGAATGTTTACGTCGAGTATGAGCCATACTGAGCAATAACAACTCACGTTGCGCTGCCGTTGCTTACCCAAACGACGGCGAGCAGATCCACGAGACGTGCCGCACACCGGACCGAACCCGCCTTGGCGCACTGGTCTCACTGGCTCAAGAACAAATACTGTGGGCTGTGCGATCGATGCATCGACCAGCTGCGCAGCCGTTGCTGTTGATTCAGGCATCTCGTCAACATCCACATTATCTCCATGCCGCAGTGTTCGTTGCCATTCCTCCATGATGCGATCAACCCAAGCCCAATCCATTCTATTCAAGATGCGCTCCTTGGATCCGCGCCTGATCCTCGTCACCTGTCAGACTCTAGTGCGATAGGCGGTCACCAGGCGATCCATGCCGTGATTCCAATGAAGAACCGCGAGACCGACTCGTGCCGGGAAGCTGCCCTGAAACTGTATCCGCTTAGGTGCGTATTTGATGATCAAAGAATGGAAAGACTCGTTCAGAGAACTTGACGCGCCATGCACAAAGGACTTCTCCTTCTCAGGGCTTAAGTGCTTGGAGAACCATGCACAAACCGCCTTGTGTGTCGACGACCCAAACTCATATATGGCATGGTCCTTGCCCCACCCCTCTCTGACGCAGCGAGGTGGGGTCTCTCCTACCCCAGTGCAGCCGGAGTGGTCACCGGCCCAGTGGTTGGGTGGGCTCCCAAGCTCCCTGGCCACGTCGGCCAGGGTCATACGATGCCCCTCTTTCTTCTTCGCACCACATCGCACCATCACGTGATAGAAATGAGAGGATAAGTGTTGTGCCACAGTTTGTTCCTCCTTGCCATAATCGATCTGATCTTCACCTCGTTTCCGCTTTTGGCGACCAGTCCACCGAGGTAGTGTCTCGGGCTCGCTGAACGCATTAGGGTTCTGCACTTCGGTATCAGCCTCGACTCCATGTAGCGCATCTGTGAATGTTAGAAAATGAAAGACGAAAACAGAGTATAGAGTAGTACTTGGATCAAGCATGCCCAAAACTTGGGAAGGGGTGTATGCATACCAGTCTCCGTGTCGGTGTTGGCCCAAGGAGTGGATCCACCGATGAAATGGGAGTTTCCGTTCGCGCCAGCGTGCGCAAGCATGATGAGGGTGCTCGCCAAAGATGTTGGTCGCGCACCCTGCGTCGGGTGCACATCATAACTCCATAGCTCTTCCACGTCTTCCCACTGAACGTCAACGTTCCACTCCTCTGGTGTCGGCCTGTCCACGGTAGCCCACTCAGCGCTCTCATCCCGCTCCCACACATCCGCATCAGAAGCACCAGGCACCTCATCGTAGGTCACAGGCACCTTCACTGGGCTACACTCCCCCCCCATCCGCACCACCTTTCTTAGCTCGGGAATCTTCCATTTCGCCTCTTCCGGGGTCATCTTCCTGTAAACAATCGTGCCCATGGCTTTACAAACGACTTCCACCAAGTCCCCTTTCAGTGAAGCTTTCGACTCTTTCTCCAACCCCCGTGCTGTCAACCATTGCCGTAGCCCATCGATAGTCGCAAGCCATAGATCCTCAATACAGGTCGCCTTGTCCACAGCCACTGGTGCACGGACAACATCCTGAAGTTCTTTCAGAAACAACTTGTAAAGAGTCCGCTTCACATGCCACCAGTCCACCTGGTGGTTCAACCCCCTTTCGGACGCTGCCCCACGAAAAGTAGTCCCTTGGTCGGAGAAGATCCCTTCCACCGTAAACCCTTTCTGCGCCAGTTCATCTAACCCTTTATCAAAAGCCACCCTTTCTAGCCGCACCGAAGAAGTGTCGTCCACCCTTTTTCGTGTCGTCGCACAGTACACTATCTTTTTGGACAGCAAATCTAAGAACGATACTGTACACCACTCTCCCTCACGAACATGTGACCATCGACCATCGTCCACTACATATTCTGTAGGGATTTCTCGCTTCATCATCTCTTCTCGTACCGCAGCCATAGACTTATCAGCCTCTCTCAGTATAGCATTCCATAACCCATTATCATCACCAAGGTACTTGTAAAATGTGCCCTTCCCTGGTGCTGGCAAGCCGAAGTTGCGACAAAACTCCCACATTTGTTGATACCCCATTCCGGCTAAAGCAAATGCCCCGACAAATTTCGACTGTAGAATCGGAGAACGCGCGCCTACACCGATTCGTGCTCTCTCGATACGCCGGCTTGGACATGACCAAAACTCTACACCATGCGAACACGCGTCGCATCTTCAAAACATGCTGACCGATGCCCATGAGAACTTCCATGACATCAATGTTATCCCCTCACTACACGCTCGCTCATGTGAACACACCAATCGACACCCTTGGAAGAACCCAACCAACTGTCGAGGCTCGACAAGACATACCCGTTGTCCGTCGATGTCATCCACGCTCGGAGCAGAAGGCCAGTGCCTAGGGACACTCCCACGTGCATCTGCCCGTCGGTGGCTGTTGGCAGGCCTAGTGGACATAAAGAGGAGGGGAGTTTGGACATGGATACAACGACGTGTTTGATAGTGCACAATGATATTTTGCCATATTTAGCCACCGCACCCACTAGTCGTCACACTTCGTGCGGGCGCAGCCACTGTAGTAACTCCAGGCGCTCCAGAAACGCCCTCATCAGCATCCATGCCCACAATGCCTACGGCTGGCACATCTGGCAGTTCGGTTCCCATGACGTTGCCACTCCCTCCATGGTTGGCCCCTGAAACGTATTGGGAGTGTGGACGGGACGTCGTTTATTACTCACGTCCAAAACAAGCCAACTTCAGATGCATCTTCCAAATCTTACCGGAATTACGCGTCGCTGCAAATGCCGCGCCACGCCTGGCGCCTCCCCATGATCGACCAGAAACCTGTCGCAGTCTTCCGCGCGCATCATACTACACCAGTGGGAAGGAGTATCTAAGCTCGGCCAGCACTCGATTGGGCCGTTGATGCAGGGCTACTACATCCTCCATAGATCCTTTCGCGCGTTTTTTGAAGATGCGGCCGTACTCTTTTCGATGTCTTTCCACAATTACGCCGGTATGAGTGTCGTTTGAAGCAGGATCTGTGAGGCAGAGAATGTGCAGGCATGTGATACATTTCACGGGTGTAGGACATTTGACAGAAAGACAACCAGCACTTCATATCATGCACACATCACACGCTCGCCCAAACCTTGTGTCATACTTGCTGCTAGGCCCGCCTCAATAAGTCGGTTGGTCGCTTGGGGTGCTGACTCCGCCAAAAATTGAATCACATCATCTGTCGTCGCCATCGTGTCCCCAAGGTACAAGGCTGAGAGCCCAACGCGGAGAACACACAGAAGTGGCCGCATGTGGACCGAAATATTGACCGTTCCTCTCTGGGCATCCTTACATGCCTGTATTGCAGGATGCCCTCCCACACCTACACCAGCCCCTGCCATCTGAAAACATGTCAGCGCATACCCCGAGGAGAGGAAAGAGATGGGTGGTTAGGGCGTTGGCACAGCAGGGACAAGGATTAGGGCATCTTTAGATGTCTGCAGAAATGTGCAAATGCACGTCATGCAGCACCGAGCGGTGAGTGCACGCAATAGAGAAAGGGCCCAAAGCACCAGCAACTCTGGTTGCTGCTGCCTGGGGACTGAACAGGTGGGTGCATGGTGCTGAAACCAGGCCCAAGGCAGCTGCATCCAGAGATGCTGCTGCCTTGGGACAGAACAGGTGGGTTTACAGTGGTGAAAGCAAGCCCAAGGCAGCAGCAACACTGGTTGCTGCTCCCTGGGGACTGAACAGGTGGGTGCATGGTGCTGAAACCAGGTCCAAGGCAGCAGCATCCAGAGATGCTGCTCCCTTTGGACTGAGATGGTGGGTTTACAGTGGTGAAAGCAAGGCCAAGGCAGTAGCATCCACGGTTGCTGCTGCCTTGGGACAGAACAGGTGGGTTTACAGTGGTGAAAGCAAGCCCAAGGCAGCAGCAACTCTGGCTGTTGCTGCCTGAGGACTGAACAGGTGGGGGATGCTGAAACCAGGCCCAAGGTAGCAGCATCCAGAGTTGCTGCTGCCTTGGGACTAAACAGGTGGGTTTATAGTGGTGAAAGCAAGCCCAAGGCAGCAGCAACTCTGGTTGTTGCTGCCTGGGGGCTGAACAGGTGGAGGCATGGTGCTGAAACCAGGTCCAAGGCAGCAACATCCACGGTTGCTGCTGCCTTGGGACAGAACAGGTGGGTTTACAATGGTGAAAGCAAGCCCAAGGCAGCAGCAACTCTGGTTGTTGCTGCCTGGGGACTAAACAGGTGGGGGATGCTGAAACCAGGCCCAAGGCAGCAGCATCCAGAGTTGCTGCTGCCTTGGGACTGAACAGGTGGGTTTACAGTGGTGAAAGCAAGCCCAAGGCAGCAGCAACTCTGGTTGTTGCTGCCTGGGGACTGAACAAGTGGGGGATGCTGAAACCAGGCCCAAGGCAGCAGCATCCACGGTTGCTGCTGCCTTGGGACAGAACAGGTGGGTTTACAGTGGTGAAAGCTGTTGGAGTAGGCTAGAGCTCGCTCTGGCCTTTATTTTGGTGTTCTTATATTTTTTCTCCATGCTTAGAGAGAGTTACGCATTCAGGTTCATTTTAGGTTCATATTGTAGTTTTTAGTACAAACCGAACACACCCTAGGTTCAATTAGGGTTTCCAACCCTCTCTCTTTTGTACCTCGACATTTCTCTTCCTAGTGCAACTTTTCCACCTCACCAAAAACTCTCGCCATCCATGGCTTCTCTAACTTCAACATGGTATTCAGAGCCTAGTCCTAGGCGTTTCCCTTTTATCCGCATCTCTTAGAAATTTTCTGGTCCTTTGGCCATTTCCGCGCTACTTACCTAGACGATTTTCATTTTCTTCTATTCTATCGTTTCCTTCAAGTCACACTTAGCATCCTCGCGGTTTTCTTCATTCTAGTCACGTGGATGCTCTATTTCACTCCGTAGCGCGCCTCCCTACCGTCCGTTCGCTCTCCTGCGCCTTCCCCCTTCATCGCGCCTCCTCCTCTCACGTTCCCGGCGGTAGCACGCTGTTTTTTGCTCGTAGCGCTCTCAGCCGCCCCCCCCTCCCCTCTGCCCCCTTCCCGCCTCGTCGCGCGTGCATTGCGCTGCCGTCGCCGCGCGCGCTTCGCTTCGTCGAGCAACGCGCGCTCCTGCCTCCCCTGCGGCGCACCCTGCCCCTTCCCAATCCGCCCTCCCCTCCCTCGCCCTCCTCCTCCTTTCTCTCCTCATCTGCTGCAACTCGTCCGTGCTTGTGGCGCGCTCTTCCCACAAACCCGCCCCTTCACCATCCTCCTCCTCTCCTCTCTCCCTCTAACTCCCCTTCCGCTCGTTTTCCTCCACCTCTTTTCTCTCCCCATCTGCTGCAGCTGGTGACTGATTGTGTATTGTAGTTGTTGCTCCTCCACACCTTTCCTCCTCCTCAGTACCCTCCCCTCATCTGCTCAACTACGAACTCCTTCACAACTATCCCTCCTCCTCTTATTTCTCCCCTCAGCAGCACAGCAGCAGACTACCCCGCCACTATCCCTCCTCCTCTAGTTTCTCCCCTCAGCGGCGCAGCAGCAGACGAATTCGCCACTATCCCTCCTCCTCTTGTTTCTCCCCTCAGCGGCGTAGCAGCAGACTACTCTGCCACTATCCCTCCTCCTCTAGTTTCTCCCCTCAGCGGCGCAGCAGCAGACTACCCCGCCACTATCCCTCCTCCTCTAGTTTCTCCCCTCAGCGGCGCAGCAGCGGACTCCTTAGCCCTTATTCCTCCGCCTCTTATACCTCTCCCCTCATCTGCTCTGCAGCTGTCTCCTCCTCCTTATGGCGACCTCTCTCGCCCTCCCCTCCCTCCCTCTGCTGGTCCTTTAGCTTGCGCCTGATGGCAGCGCAGTCAACTTCCCGAGTTGGCTGAACTGTCTCGAGCGCACGCCGTCTGGCACCCTCGTGAGTGGCTTTAACCTCTGGTTTGTCACTCAGCAGAGTGGTTCTGGCGCCATTCCTAAACCTGCCTCTGCACCTACCTCTACCTCTTCTGACCCCTATGCTGATGGCCTTCGTGCTGCTATCGCTGAAACTGAGCGGATTGCGGCCACGGCCCAAGCCAGTGCTGCGGCTGCTCTTGACAATGCTGCAGCCCGTGACCTCGCTCGTATTCTTGCTGAGTCCCTCGAGAGCACCCGCAAGTGCCTCACTGAGCACCTCTCTGCCCCCTCTCCTCGCTCTGCCTCTACTCCCTCTGCTTTTGCTCCATCTCACTCTGACCTTCTCACTGACTGGCATGTTGCCAACGCAAGTGCCTACCAGATCATCCTTGCCTGCCTACCTCCAGCCCTTCTCCCTCAGTGCTCGCACATCCGCTATGCCAAGGACCTTCTCGGCTATCTTACCGAGCGCTTCCAATTGCAGACTCCCATCAGTGTCATTGCCCTCTTACGTGAGCTTACCTCTCTTTGCCTTGCTGACTTCACCACCATGGCGGACTACATCGCTCGTGTGCAGACGCTGTCCTCCCAACTTGCCTCTCAAAAGTTTGAACTTTCCGATCATGTGTGCGGTGCCCTCCTCCTCACAGGCCTCACTCCTGAATACAGTGTTCATGTCACTCTGTATGGTGAGTGCCCTGCCGACCAGTGGTCGTTCTCTCGTGTCTCTGCCTTCCTCCTCCAGGCAGAGCTCAACCTCCACAGCTGCCCTCCTACTGCCGCCGCTGTCACACCCTCTTCCGCCCCCCCCCCCCTCTCCCCACCTCCACTGCCGCCGCTGCTTCCTCTCGCCCTCGCAACACCTTTCCTCCTTGCACCTACATCATTCGCCAAGGGCCCCGCAAGGGTCAGCCATGTGGTCGCACCAATCATCCCTCCTCCTCCTGCTTCTAGAAGCTCACCGATGACTGGTTCCTGGCTGGCAACACCGGTCGCCCTACCAATTGGCTTCAACTCTCTCGTCAGCGTCGCCAGTCTTCTGCCCAGGCGGTACTTGTGGCTGCCGACTCTGGTACCAGTGCTCAAACCTTTGCTCTCAGTGTGACTATGCCTAGTCAGGATAGCATTCTGGGAGCTTCTCCCCTTATGGACCCTCGTTTTGCCATGATGTTTGCTCCTTCTGTTAATGGCAATGATTCTCAGTATCTTCGTCCCACAGCTGCTGCTCTTTCTCTCCCTCACACTCTTGAGTTTGTTCTTGACAGTGGTGCCACTGACTCTGTTTTTCGTGATGCTGGTGTGCTTCGCTCTTTTCCCCAACCCCTCTCCATTCAAGGAGCTGGGGATACCATGACCATGACTTGCCCTGCTACCTCCTCTCTTCCCTGTCCTGCCTCCCCCTCTGGTGCTGTGACTGGCCTCTATGTCCCTTCCTGCCACCACAACCTTCTCTCTCTCTCTCTGCACTTCAACGTCTTTGTGTGCGAGCTATCTTTCCTGAATGTGACTCCTATTGTGATCTCCATCATCGCAGCCGCCATCTTGCACGCTTTACTCTTTCCCCTGTCACTCGCCTCTACACTCTTCGTGACTCTCTCCCCCCTTCTGCCCATCATGCCTCTTCCGCTTCCGCCCCTCCCGTTCCTTCTTGCGACTATCGTTCTCTCACTCAACCTACCCTTGTCCTCCATCATCGGCTTGGCCACCCCAATTTTCCACTTCTTCGCAGTATGGTCTACTCCAAGCTTCTTCATGGCCTCCCTTCCTCTCCCCCCCCTCTTCCTCCCTCTCTTGCTCCTCCATGCACCCCATGTGTCCAGGCCAAATTATCCCAGTCACCCCATCCCTCTTCCCCCTCTGCCTCTCCCCAACCCCTTGACCTTGTTCATATGGACCTCTGGGGTCCTTCACCCACTTCGTCTCGTCAGGGTCATCGCTACTTTCTGCTTTTGGTTGATGACCACTCACGATTCGCCACCGTCTATCCCCTCCGTGCCAAATCTGACGCTCCCTCCCTCATCATTCGCTGGGCTGAGCAGGCTCGTCTATGCTTTAAGCGTCCTGTCGCGTGCTTCCACTCGGATGGTGGTGGCGAATTCTTTAATCACTCTCTCTCCTCTTACTGTGCCTCTCATGGCATTCGCCAGACCTCCACTCTTCCTCACTCACCAGAACAAAATGGGGTTGCCGAGCGTCGCAATCGCACTCTCATGGAAATCAATCGCTGTCTTCTCACCCATGCCTCTGCTCCCCACTCTCTTTGAAGCTACGCTCTCCTCCATGCCACTCTACTCTCTAACCTCCGCCCTCATCCTCTTTGCCCTACTACCACCCCCTTCCAGCTTTGGACTGGCCGCCAGCCCTCTGTTCGCCCTCTTCGGGTCTGGGGGTGTGTCGCCCATGTTCTTGTCAATCCAGCAGACCGGTCCCGTCAGGGTGGGAAACTCGCTCCCAAGACGCAACTCTGTGCATTCCTTGGCATCAACTCTAACTGTCCTGGCTATCTTTTCTATGCCCCTTCCTCTCACCAACTCATCCGCAGCCAGGACGTCATGTTCGATGAGACTTAATCCCCATTCCATTCCCCCCCACCCGCCCCTCCTGTCCCCTCTCTTCACTGGTCTGATTTCGACCAGCCACCGTCTGTCCTTCCCTCCCCTCTCCCCCCCCCCTCCCATCCTGCCCCTTCCCGCCCCTCCCTCTGCGCCAGCCTCTGCTGCCCCCCCTTCCGACATCATCTTGTTAAGAATCTAGCGTGACTTAGGCTTAGGAGCCATAGTAGTTTAGGTGAGTTCGAGTTGTGGGGTGAAGTTCGAGGGTGTAGGGTGTAAGGAAAATGTGAGAGAGTTTAGAAGGAGAATGTTGAAGCTAGAAAGGAGGGGGATATAAGTAGTAAGCCCTAAAAGGGTTATACTCACTTTTGAGTACCCCACTACAGACTAGACATGCATTATAATCTGACACACCCCCATAGTCAAAGTGGGGTATAATCAGTACAGCATGCAGGCATAGAGCTAGAGTTCACAATAGGTAAGTAAGGCTAGGGCTAATCACAGAGGGCAAGAGAGGAGGAGGAGAGACTGTGGGGGAGAGAAGATGGGAGGCGAGTGCTGACGCTGCAGACACACAGACGAGCTGCTGGCTCAGTGGCTACCGAAAGCAAAGGCCCGGACTACAGGAGTAACTGGCTCCGCGGCTAAAAGTAGCGGCAGACGAGCAACTGACCCACAGGCGACTAGCGACTACCGGAGATTGTAGCCTCCGGACTGCTGGTGCTACTGACGACAAGACTGCTGCCTCCACTCAACCTCCCCCAGCTGCCCAACGCCCCTCTCACACACCCCCTGCTCAAACCCTAGCCCTACACCCACAGCACCCCCTTAAACCCTAAACCTCCGACTCCCACACATCCACCCCCCTCAGCGATAGCTGCAGTAGTGGGAGACAAAGGAGGAGGAGGAGGAGGGGACGGCACGCACAACCGACACCCCCACAACCATCACCCCCACACCCAACCCCCCACGGCTGCACCGGGTCCAGGAGCGGCTGCTGCAGGGGCCAGGGGCGGCTGCTGCAGGGGCGGCTGCTCCAGGGGCTGCTGCTGCTGGGGCTGCTGCTGCTAGGGCGGCTGCTCCAGGGGCTGCTGTTGCTGGGGCGGCTGCTCCAGGGGCTGCTGCTGCTGGGGCGGCTGCTCCAGGGGCTGCTGCTGCTGGGGCGGCTGCTGCTGGGGCGGCTGGCTACCATCGTCCCAGACACAACTCCTCCCCCCCACCCCTACCCGACCCGGCTCCAGGCCCGTGTTCGCAGTGCCCGTGAGGAGCAGCTGGAGTTGAAGCAAGAGGAGAGAGAGATGGAGCGGCAACAGCTGGAGCTACAACGGCTGGAGGAGCAGCAGCAGCAGGAGCAGCAGCAGCAGCCGCAGTTGGAGCAGTAGCACCAACAGCCGCAGCAGGAGTAGCAGCAACTTCCGCCGCAGCAGCAGCAGCCGCCATCTCCTCCTCCTGTTTTTGGCCTTCGGGCCTGTCAACGGGAGTTGTGTGTAGGCCCCGTCCTTGCTTGGGCGGAGCCGACTTCGTGGTCGGGTGTGAGGGGAGCAGCTGACCTGCAGTAGTGGGCAAGCTGGTTGACAAGGAGGTCGACCTGCACGGGGGACACTGCACGGGCGCCGACTTCAGGGAGGTCGACATGGGAAGTCGACCTGCGGAGGGCGTCAACTTGGTGACGCCAACTTGGGGGCAGCCGACTTGGGTGGTCGGCTGATAGGACTGCTGGTCGACCTGGTGGTTGGTCGACCAGGTCTGCAGGTTGACTTGCTGGTGGTCGACCTGACCTGGTGGTCGACGAAGGAGGGGCCGACGTCGACCTCGACTCAGGACGCCGAGCAGTTGGGCGTCGAAAAGCAGGGCGTCAACTTGGTGACGCCGACTTCGGGTAGCCGACTTGAGTGGTCGGCTGACAACTGCGCTGGTCGACGTGGAGCTAGTCGACCAGGGGCGTGGTCGACCTGGTGAGGTCGACTTGGGGTGGTCGTCGACTTGGGAGGTCGACGGGCACATACAGGAGCAGCTGGTCGACGTGGTTGCCCGGTCGACCAGGTTACCTGGGTGACGAGGTTCTGCGGAGGAGTGCGACAGTCGCCCAGGCGAAGTTGGCGAGTCTGACCTCGGTGGTGGTATCCCAAGGTCGACGTGGCTGATTAGATGCAGTCGTCAGCGTCAAGTTGACTTGGTGTGTGCGTTGTGCAGGTGACAAGGCTCCGCATGCCAATCATCTGCAAGCACCTGCGAAGCTGGGGCGATGCTGTTCTGCGGGAGCAACGCTGGCACGCCGTCAACCTGCAACGCTGGCACGCTGTCGACTTTGCACTGCTGGAGCGCAATCGACCAAGTCGTGCTGGAACCCGGTCGACCATGCTGTGCCAGCAGTCGACCAACCCTCCCTTGTTACGGACCCTCGTGCCTCTCTGTCCTCTATCTCCGCCCTTACTGCCCCCGTCACTGAGTTGGCATGTGGATCTTCAGGGTGAAGCGGCCACCAGGATCTCCTCCGATCTTCAAGGCGCACTATGTGGCTAGAGGTTTCAGTCATTGCGAGGGAGTTGACTTCTTTCAGACCTTCGCGCCTACCCCGAAGTTGACCACTCTTCGAGTGTTACTGCACGTAGCAGCACAGAGAGACTACGAGCTGCACTCTCTCGACTTCTCCACTGCCTTCCTTCAGGGAAGCCTACACTAGGAGGTCTGGCTGCATCGTCCCTCTGCCTTCACTGGCACTTTCCCTCCTGGGACCCAGTGAAGGCTGAGGCGACCAGTCTACGGTCTCCGTCAGGCTCCTCGTGAGTGGCACGGCACCTTTCATTCTACCTTGTATGACCTCGGTTTCCAGCCATCTTCTGCCGACCCGTCGCTGTTTTTTCGTCATGGCTCCACACCGTTCTTTGTACTGGTCTACGTCAACGACCTGGTTTTCGCTACTACTAATAGGGTTGCTTTGGCTGACGTGAAGCGCGAACTGCAGAAGAGATACGTCAATGACCTGGTTTTCGCTACTACTGAGAGGGTTGCTTTGGCTGACGTGAAGAGCGAACTGCAGAAGAGAAACACGTGCACTGACCTTGGTGAGCTGCACCACTACCTTGGCCTGCAGATCACCAGGGACAGAGCCGCTCGTACCACTACACTCTCACAGTCACACATGGTGCAGCAGGTCCTTCAGCGGTTTGAACTTCAGCACTCCAGAGTATAGCACGCACCTCTTGCTGTTGACCATAGACTCACTGGTTCCTTTCCTGACGAGCCCTTTTAGCCTTGTGGTCCCTACGCAGAGCTGGTGGGCTGCCTCATGTACCTGATGACTTGTACTCGCCCGGACCTCGCCTACCGTCTCAGCATCCTTGCTTGTTTTGTTGCGCCAGGGAGACACCGTCAAGTTCACCGAACAGCTGCTGTGAGGGTGGCGAAGTACCTAGCGACGACATCAGGCGTGGGGCTGGTTCTTGGAGGCCGGACGTTCTTACTGGTCACTGTGACTCTTCTTTTGCCGACGATGCCGAGACTCACAGGTCTACTCAGGGGTACTGTTTCAGTCTGGGATCTAGAGCTCTTT